AGCACTCACGCATGCCGCTTGCTGCAGCCCCCACCCCAGCAGCTGGAGGGAGGATGCCCCTTTCAGGCTGCTGCAGCCCCAAACCACTCCTTTTTCTCCCCAAAGGCAGGGAGGCAGATGGGATTTTGAGCACCAGTTTGCTCAACCACCATAGGGAAAGGCTGACGTGACAGTCCTGGCGCTGGGAGAAGTCACAGTCACCAAGACGAGGGCTGTGACCCCCTCCTGAGCGCTGTCCCCCCCACACCAGCTGTGCTGTCCCCAGTCTGGCCATACAGACACCAGCACTGGTGACAGATCTGGATTGCCCAGGAGAAACGAAGGTGGAGGAGCTCATGCATTAATTATGATGATGCTCAAGGAATAAATCCCTACAGAGCAGGCCCGTGACCCCAAGCCATCGGGACATGAGCAGTTTGCGGGGAGGATGAGTGCAGGACGCTGCAAAAGCATTGCTGAGCTGCAAACCACGCCGGCTGCGTCTTGGTGGAAGATGGACCAAGTGATGCTAACAAAGAAAATAGAAAAGAAAAATGGGGTTGAGCTGAGACTTGCCAGAAGCACAGACGGTGAAATAAGATCTGGTGCTAAAACCAAACCACTTCTCCCGTTTTCTGTTCACACACAGGCAGGTTTCCAACGTCCAGGTGCTTCAGGACCTCCACAGACCATGTTGTGTCTATGAACATAAAATTTCCCCCCTAGGTGGTTGGCTGCACCCTAAACCCTTCCATTTAAAGCTCAGAAAGAGCATCAGTTGTATTCAATTATTGCAGTAGTATTCTTCAGCTTCTGTGTGATGCTGGTAGCGCCCAGAGGAGATGTAAATGCTATTTCTTGGTAGGAAAATCCGGCTGCTTTGAAGCTCAGCAGCTCTCCAGGCTCCAGAGCAAGAGGTGGACACAGGGGACACCCCAACCTCCCAGGGGTGCAGAGCTGTACTCCAGGCACCACACGCTCGCCGTCCATCACATGGCAGAGAGCAGCCCGACCACGGTACTTCCAGCTCCACTGCACAGCTGGAGGTCTTCAAATTTTGTTTGTCATTTTGGGTTGGCTTGGTGTTATAACTGGGAACCACAAGCTGTGCTGCACATCATCAGCAGGGTGCATAGGGCAACATAACAATGAGAAGGGATGAGAATTTCTTTGGTTTTAAATCTAATAATGAAAAATGACATCAAAAGGAGAAGAGTTCAAGATGAGCACACTAAAAGACATGCCAAGATCTGCCTCATTAGGGTGCTCAGGGCTTACCGTACTCTGTGGACCATTCAGGGAAGCAGGAGTTGGTCTCATCTCTGCTCTACAGCTGCTCCATGGGGAGGGAAATGGTGTCTGAGGGTCAGGACACAGAGGCCATAGACGACAGGAGGCACCCCGAGGTGGAACGTGCTCTTCCAAGGCTCAGCTCCCTACCTCAGAGCACCATCCTTGGCACGAGGACGGCTGCAAATCTAATGGAGCAAGCAAAAGCAGGGCTGCTTCTCACCTTTTTCCCCTTCAACTGTCCCACTCTGGAGGTGTCACTGCCTTCTCAGCAGACGGAAAAATATGTTTTCTTAATCCCTTCTCACCAGCTGGTGCCCTTACACCGGGATCATGCCTTTTTCCACTTCAACTGTCCCACTCTGGAGGTGTCACTGCCTTCTCAGCAGACGGAAAAATATGTTTTCTTAATCCATCTCTGTGCATTAGATGTTTTAGGAGCTGCGTGCAGGTGCACAAGGTGGCCCAGGACCTGCCCCATCCTCGGCTGCCTGCAGAGATGGGGATGCTCTTGGAGGACCTTTCTCAGGGGGAAGGAAGCGATTCACCCCCTCACACCAAACAGCAAGAACACAAATCTGCAAGAGGTGGACGGACCTTCTCTCAGAGGGCCCTGGCTCTCCCTGTGCTCATCTTCTCCATAAAATCAGAAGGTGACACTGGCTGAAAGCGTCGTGAACATGCCAGCATGGACCCCAACCAGGTCTCTTTTGGACTGGATTGCTCAGGACCTCATCCTTCATCCCAGCGAAGACTTCTCCATATCTCCTTGCACTAAGGAGCCCAAAACCAGACACATCCCTCCAAACACCAGCCTGGCCCAGCTGCGCTCTCACCAACGCTGGGGAGAAGGAGGAGAAGTCACCAGCCCAGCTTGCTGCCTGCACAGTCTGCAGTTGGCTGCCTGCACCACAAGAGCCCACTGCTGCTCCGCCGCAGTCCCCAACCTCTCCCCAGCACCCAGGTCGATGGGCAGAGAGGGACAGAGAGGCACCAAGCTCTCAGCAAACCTCCAAGGAGAGGGTCTCCGACCACCCTCACCCCAATGCAGAGGTCCTGCTTGGGCTCAGCTGGTTCCCAGCCCTGCAGGGAGGCACCGGGTGATGCTGCAGCTCCCCTCCACTCTCTGCTGATGCTCTGGATGCTTCCCTCAGCTTTGCACAATTTTAGACAATCCTGTAGCATCACAAGCAGAGGTTTCCTGCAATCCCAGCTGTAAAAAAAAAAAAAAAAAAAAACAAAAAAAAAAAAAAAACACCACAAAACAACCCACCCCCCAAAAAACCCTAACCCCCCAAAAAAGCCAAACCCTGCTAAATGCTCCTGGGAGCTATGTGCCTGTGCAAGGGTTATGTAGATGCTTCCCCTGCA